AAGTTGGAAAATAATTAAAAGTTACTTACTTAATTTTGCCTATTCTGGAATTTGAACTCAAGTCTCCTGCTTGTTTGGTTTGCTCACTCATCTATGGCTATACCATTTGAGCCACATCTCCAGTCCAGATTTTTGCTCTGTGTGTGTGTGTGTGTGTATACTTGTTTTTTTTTGGGGGGGGGTCCGGTCATGGGGCCTGAACTCTGGGCCTGGGTGCTGTCCCTCAGCTCTTCAGCTCAAGGCTAGCGCTCTACCACTTGAGCCACAGCGCCACTTCCAGCTTTTTTCTTTTTGCTTATGTGATACTGAGGAATCGAACCCAGGGCCTCAGGCATACAAGGCAAGCGCTCTACCACTGAGCCACCTTCCCAGCCCTGTGTGTATACTTGTGCAAGCACCAGTCCTGGGTCTTGAACTCAGAGCCTAGGCACTGTCCCTGAGCATTTTAACTCAAGAGCTCCATCTCTGGCTTGTTTGCTGGTTAATTGGAGATAAGTTTCATGGACAGCCTGGGCTGGCTTTGAATCTCCATCTTCAGGTCTCAGTCTTCTGAATAGCTAAAATTACATGTGTGAGCCACTGGCACCTGGCTTTTGCTAGTTATTTTGGAGGTGAGGTCTCAGGGACTTTTCTGCCTTGATCTTTTTTTTTTTTAATTGTGAAAATACTGTACAGAGGGATTACAATTACATGGGCAAGATAATGAGTACATTTCTTATCAAGCATTGTAGCCTCCTCCTTTGTTTCCCCTTCCCATCCCTTCCCATCCTTTCCCCCCAATCCTCCTCGCCCCCCTACCCCTGCACCAAGTTGTAAAGTTCATTTTCGTCATAACGACTTGTACATCTCATTGTTGCAATGGGTCCACCTGTATCCCTATTTAAACAATTTGTTTTTTCCCTTCCCCTCCACAAATTATACCGACATCAAATACAGTGAAAGCAGGGGTTATACTGTGGGGGAGGGACATACAAAGCAACAAAGAAATCATCTTATAAATGTGTTAGAAACAATCACATGAAAGAAGAAAAACATTTGAATACATATCTTAGGGTTCATTTCCCTAACATCACCTTATCTGATCTTTTTTTTTTGGGTCCAGTCGTGGGGCCTGAACTCTGGATCTGGGCGCTGTCCCTCAGCTCTTCAGCTCAAGACTAGCGCTTTACCACTTGAGCCACAGTGCCACTTCTGGCTTTTTTTTCTTTTTGCTTACGTGGTGCTGAGGAATCGAACCCAGGGCCTCATGCATGCAAGGCAAGCGCTCTACCACTGAGCCACCTTCCCAGCCCTTTTCTGCCTTGATCTTGATCTTGTGAATCTCAACCTTACAAACAGCTAGGATTGTAAGTGGGAGCCCCTGGGGATGATTATTCTAAGGCAAAGTACTGGTAATTTGGATGAATACATGTTGGAGGGCAGTTTGGGTAATTGTTTTAAACTAGTGATTCTCAGCTTGGGACAATTTTATCTGCTAGGTTACCTTTGGCAATTTCTGAAGATGTTTTTGCTTGTCTAATCTGGGGAGGATGGGTTTTTGGCAACTAGTAGGTAGAAGCTGGGGCCAAAACAATGGAAGATACTCAGGACAGCCTTGTACAGCTAAGAATTATCAGTTCTAATGAGGCTGAAAAATCCTGTTTTAAATAAGTTATTACTTTATTGTTGTTGCCCACATTTTAATATACTATTAAGTTTCTGATCTTACTAAAGCTCTGAAATCTTTCTGTATAACACTACAGACCTTTTTTTTTCTTTTTTTGGTTGTGGGCCTTGAACTCTGGGCCTGGGTGCTGGCCCTCAACTCTTCAGCTTAAGGAAAGTGCTCTACCACTTGATCCACAGTGCCACTTCCAGTTTTCTGGTGGTTTATTGGAGATGAGTCTCACAGACGTTTCTTTCCCAGGCTGGCTTTGAACTGGGATCCTCAGATCTCAGCCTCCTGAGTAGCTAGGATTACAGGCATGAGCCATTGGTGTCTGGCTAAGACTTTTGAAGCTTTGTTTCTGCTTAAGTGGAGAGGGCAGGTGGAACAGGAAAGCAATTTCTAGGAAAGCAAAGAGAAACAGACTTGCGTGGGAATACAGAAAAAGGCAGATTAATAGGTAGGTGGAAATTTCCTGAGTGTTTTTTTCCCCCCAGAGGTTCTTCCTCCACAGTCTACACAGAAACCCATCTGACCTCTGGTTTCCAGGATCAGACCCCTGACTTGACAATACAGGAAGGAAGGCTTTCCCTGCCCAATATCTGGCCTCCCTCGCCCCTTTCTCAGGGGCTAGGGCTGAATGAATTTTCCTTTGCACTCCCCACGCTCCTCCTCATCTATTCTTCTGACACTTTGTGCAATCCTTCTTATTGTCATTCAGTTAACATGTTGGCCTTTGTCTCTTCTGAATTTTGAGTTATAGTTAGCAAGGCCTTTTCTATACTGAGGTTATGAAGTATCTTCTACTATTGTCATCTTATACTTTCATGGTTCTGTTTTCTTTTCTCATTTCATCTTTAATCCATTTGGCATTCCTCCGTGCTGTATACTGTTTAAATTCTGTCTTCTCCCAGATAGCCATCCAGTCGTATAACATCGCTTATTAAATAGCTACTAGTTGTGCCCACTGACTTGGATGTCACCTTTATCATATACCGTGTATTATTTATATTTACATAAATAAAACAACTTTTACTGCATTTTAGAATGTTAGAAGAGAATCTGTTTTCTTTTTTATGAAAAACCTAGGGGATTTTTTTAATGTGTGCTAAAACATATACAATTTTAAAATGTACCATTATAACTATTTCAAAATATAAAGTTTGAGGATATTTAAGTCCATTTACATTGTGCAGCCCTGGCCATCATCTCTCTCTTAGAATTTGTTTTAATCTTTTTGTCAAATACCCCATTAATTTTGTGACACATTATCCATTAGTAAGGTACTTTGATTTCAGAGATCTTAAAATGTAGGAACACATATGTCTTAAAATTACTGAAATACATTCGGAATTCCCAAATGTAGTCAGTATATTTCTATATGTGCTGTTCTATTCATTTTTCTTCTTGAGTGTCATTGCTTACTTTTTTTTAATTACAGGAGATTTTAATCTGTGTGTGTGTGTGTGTGTGTGTGTGTGTGTGTGTAATGGAGTCTGAACTCTGGGCCTAGGCACTGTCCCTCAGCTCTTCAGCTCAAGGCTAGCACTCTACTATTTGAGCCATAGCACCACTTCCAGTTTTCTGGTGTTTTTTATTGGAGATAAGAGTCTCACGGACTTTCCTACCCTGGCTGGCTTTGGACCATGATCCTCAGATCTCAGCCTCCTGAGTAGATAGGATTACAGGCCTGAGCCACCGGTGCCCAGCTGTCCCTTAGTTTTTTTTTTACTCAAGGCTAGTGCTCTGCCACTTGAGACTTGAGCCATAGCTCACCTTCTAGCTTTTTCCTGATTAATTGGAGATAAGAATCTCACAGACGTTCCTGTACAGGTTGGCTTTGAACTGCCTCCTAAGTAGTTAGAATTGTAGATAGGAGCCACCGGCACCTGGTTTATATATTTTAAAATATAGTAGAGTTTCTCCTCACTGGTCATCTTTTTCAGAAGACTTCTGTTGTCTACGGTATGCTTCTCCATCTGTCCAGATAAAACAACTTCTCTCTGGCTCTGTATGTGTGTGAATGCGCACGCTTGCTCGTGCACACGTGAGTATGTGCATGCACATGTTCCAGCACTGGAACTTACTCAGGACCACACAGTCTCACTTGGCTTTTTCTCTTAAGGCTGGTTCCCTCTCACTTGAGCCATCCTTCCACTTCTGATGTTTGCTGGTTATTTGGAAACAAGAGTTTCAGCAACTTTTCTGCCCAAACTGGCTTTGAACTTCAGATCTTAGCCTCCTGAGTATCTAGGATTACAAGTGTGAGCCACGAGTGTCCAACTCTCCTTAGCTCTTAAGGTCTTTTTCTCTCTCTTTCAGTATTTATTTCACCTAGAACATGAAAATCTTGCATATAAATTGAATGGAGGGGTTAGATTGGCAAGTCTGATGCAGAATGAGGACTGGGTACAATGAGCATATAAACTGACATGTTGAATGGTCACCCCTTTGTACAACTACATAAAGTCAATAAAAATATAATTTAAAAACTTGCATATAATTCAGTAGGCAACTACACTACATGCCTTTTGAGTCATACTTTCAGTCATACTTGCTGTGTTTTCAGTGATTGCTGCGATTAAAAACTGCCGAAGTCTATTACATACATGGATGTCATAGTCCCAATGAAACCTATTATTTGTGTAATTGGATTGAAAAATCTGTGGGCACAGGAAATTTGCCAGTGACGTCAGCAGGATTCATGGTTTGAGAGGCTGTTGTGGGCCCATTGTCTTACACATCCCATTAGTAATTTGAGTTAATTTTAAGATAGAGATGCTTTTTCCTCTTTTAATTTATGTGTTCTTCTTTTCCAGTGACTACTAATACTTAGTTAAGACACAAATCCTTACTAAGACTTTTGGCTCCAACTTTTTTATTTTCAATAAACTATTTTGTTCAACTAAAAAAGAAGTCTCCACATAGGATCTTTAAGCGTTTGTGTATCTTCTCCACTTTCCTCTTCCACTTCTTTTTCTTGCTCCTCCACCACCACCACACCGCCACCACCACCTCCTCCTCCTCCTCTTTTTCCTCTTCCTCTTTTTCTTCTTTCCTCCTTCTCCTTCTTCTTCCTTCAGCTGTGCCATGATGGTATAACCTTCTCCTGACTTATTTTCTCCATAAGAGGGAGATATCCTATAGAGGTTACTAGAACTTTAGCCTTTTACAGGGAAGTTAGTAGAGTCCCTAAAAGACTGGAAATCTCACATATTTGAAACTGAATCAGCATTTATTGTGATTTACTAATGGATTTACCCTCTAAGTTTATTGCTCTGCCAGTTATTCCTATTAATTTTTTAGCATTTTAAATATTATATTACTAAAACCTTGCCTTTATTTGCATTTATAGGTGATAAACTCATTTCTGTTTTTTACTGGTGATTCCATTAAAATAATCAGTAAATCTTGTGGAAAATGGCCTTCAGCGACCTTACATCAAGGACTGTGCGCTTTTATGATAATTTAATCAAAGATGCTGGTGAGTAACCAAATTTCTTAATAAAGGTTAATCTTTCTTTTTATATCACATTCTCATATTAATAGGATTTTTATTGAAATGGAATGAGAGACTATGGCTTCACACTCCTTTATTACTAGTTAACAAAGAGGATTTCATTACATATAGAGAGATATAGCTACATAGATATTTATTACAATGCTTACCATGGTGAAAATAGCTTAAATACTTGGTGAAGGAGCCTGGTTAATGAATGATGGTGCATTGGCATAGAAGTCATTACCAGTAATTTTGGAGTGCTCTTTGAATTGATTCTTCTCCTAAGGGAAATTCTGGTTACTGACAATTGTGCCTACATCTATACTGATTCCTGAATGGGAATATTATAGCCCCCACTGGGATATCAGAAATTTTGGCATGGAATACTGAAGTGATACAGATTCTGAAGTCCTGGCCTTTTAAAAAAATCAATGGTTAGAACACTTGATACTATAGAAAGAAATTTAAAATATGCCAATGAAAGCAAAAGTTAAAGTACCACATGGGTTTCTTTTGTGGAAGTTAACAGTTATTCCTAGTTGTTAGAATCATGTTTGTTTGTTTCTGCTTTGGGGGCTTGAACTCAGGGATTTGTACTTGTCCATAGCAAACATACACTTTAATCCTGAACTTCACATAAGCCTTATGAGTTATTTTTATTTAATTATGTCTGTATTTAAAATTTTTTAAAATTTTTTGGGTTGGTCATTGGGCTTGAACTTTGGGCCTTGGCGCTGTCCCTCAGCTCTTCAGCTTAAGGCTAAGTGCTCTACTTCTTGAGCCACAGCACCACTTCCAGCTTTAAATTTTACAAGAACTATAGCCAATGTGTATTGCTTCTATAACTCTCTCTCTCTCTCTCTCTCTCTCTCTCTCTGCTTGAATTTGAGGCCTCATACTCTTGCTTAGCTTTCTTTTCTTTTCTTTTTATTGGTGTCAACTCTACAGCTTGAACTCATGGCCTGGGCACTGTTCCTGAGCTTTTTTGCTCAAGGCTAGCCTCTACCACTTGAGCTATACACAGCTCCACTTTTGCTTTTTGCTGGTTGGTTGGAGATGAGGATCTCATAGACTTTTCTGTGTGGGTTGGCTTTGAACTGCTATCCTCAGAGCTCAGCCTCCTGAGTAGTTAGGATCTAGACGTGAGCCACTGGCACCCGGTTTTGCTTCGTTTTTTTTTTTTTTTTTTAATCAGGGCTGCTATTTTACCATTTGAGCGAAGCCTCCAATCTAACATTTTATTGGTTAACTGGAGACAGAGTTAATGCAGACTTTTACTACCAGGCTGGCTTTGAACTATGCTCTTCCAGGTTGTAGCTTCTTGAGTAGCAAGGATTACAGATGTGAGCCATTGGTGTCTGGCTTTTTAAAATTACTACTTTTTTTAAAGTTACATATACTCACCACCCTATTTTAGATTGGCCTTTAACTCAAGAGTCAAATGGACTTAGATGATGGTCCTACAAATACAAAATGTTTTAATATGAACTCACAATTCCACTTTCTCCTTTTATCTGTGGATAAAGCTATTTATATTTTATTAGAAATACTTCCATCAAAAAGCTGAGCAATAGGACTGGGAATAAGGCTTAGTGTAGAGTGCCTGCCTAGCATGCATGAAGCCCTGGGTTTGATTCCTCAGTACCATATAAACAGAAAGGCTGGAGGTGGCATTGTGGCTCAAGTGGTAGAGCTAGCCTTGAACACAGAGGGAATGAAGAGAGTCCAGGCCCTGAGTTTAAGCCCCAGGACTGACAAAAAAAAAAAAAAAAGCTGAGCAATAGTAAATGAAAAAGAGATGACAAGGGGCTAGAGGTAGTTAAAGACAAATGAGAAGAGTCCTGGAAAGAGTTGTAAACAAAGCAGGAAATATAAGAGAAGAAGGGGAAGGCAGTGAAGGCATATATCTCAAGTTAGACTAATTTGAAGTTTGGAGTAGAAGGAAGGCCTGAAGGCCATGAAATGAAGACATCCAGAATTTACAACCGTCACTACTGAAGACTAAGAGATTCTGAACAAACTACATTTTGGCTGAGTCTCAGTTTCTTTGTGAGGAAAACAAAGGTGAAAAATAACAGCACCTGCCAAGTATTGTGGCATGTTATTACTGAGGAAGTATTCCAACACAAACAGTAGCAGTTACTGTTCCAGAAGACAGGATTTTATCTTCTACTACATTTAATATAAAGTATCAACTAAACATTTCTTTCTTCTCCTTTTTTCTTCCTCTTTCTCTTCTTCATCTTCTCTTCTTCTTCTTTTTGTCCAAGCAATCCTCATAGTCAGGTTTTCCTGACTCAGCCTTCCAAGTGTACCATTAAGCCTAACTAAGTATTTTCCTTGATAATATTTCTTTTCTTGTCAGGGACCAGCAGGATTAAAGATGTTTGGGGGGGGAGGGGTTGTGTTTTTTTCTTAATTTACAATTTTATGGAAACCTAGGAGACTTTTGTTATTGTACTTTGTATGGTATTGTTCTTTGAGAAGCTTTACCCTTAGACGGTCTAAACCTATAATCAGGGGTCAAAAGTTTCAAATGTATTTTTGGCTTTGCCCCTAATCCTGAATTGACTTCAAAAAACAAAAACAACTTACTGATCATCATGATTTTCAGATTGCTGGAGAACTAGTAGTCAGGCATAGCTGTTTCACGTGGAAAATTCCACAGCCACAACAATTTAAAGTGGCTTAATTAATACTTAAGCTGAAAGAGGATTTCCTATGCTTCTTAGATATGAAATGTCAGATTTTGAAATACTGCTATAGTAGTCTTTGGGACTGTAGAAAATGAAAAACGTTTTAATGATTAACAAGTAACTTTTTGTGTTTGATAGTAATCATTTTTCCGACTTAGTTCAAAAATATAGAATGGGAGTAGGATTTTTTTTTGAACCCTTAGAACTTCAAAAGTGCTAAGTGCTTGAGATACACATTTGCTTTTCCTTCCAGATGCTTAGAATCTTAAAAGGTGTACTCTCTGATCTAGTGCATACTTAAGAAGAGAACAATCTCTCATAAGTAGTTGATGGAAAAGCTCATTAATATTCTATAAATGCAGCATTGTACTTTGCCTGTTTTCTTTCTCTCTCTCTCTCTCTCAGCATTATTAAGTAAGTCATAAATCAGAACTTAGATAATCAAGCACAGCTTCTGCTTTCATCTTGGCTCTACTCATGAGACTAAACCAACTTTGATGCCAAGCAGATGATAGAAGAATCTCTCCCTCACTCTGTCTCTCTGTCTCTCAGGGAAGTGGGGAGCACTCAGCCCTGAGCCTAATGTAATTTATGGGATCATAGACTAAGTCAGAATTAACTTTAAATGTCATTGAGCAGTTCCCTCTTTAGCTCCTGTATAAAGCTGTGGCGTACATGTGAATGGAGGGCATTTAGTAGAGAGAAGGGTTACTCTCTCACATGGAAGTGACCTCCATTTTCAGCAAGGTAGAACTGCTGCCAAAAGAGATTGCAGGAAACAGGAAGTGTGAACAATAGCCAGAGCTGCAAACATTGTGTTCAGACTTCAAGTTTTGTTTCCTCAGTGAGGAGGAGCTAGTTTAAAAAATAAGAGAATAATCTCAGCAGAGCTTTGCTTTTACAAAGTGAATTTGAAAACTATGGAAGTCAGATGCAAGAGACTAGATTGAAAGGCAGGGAAAGCACATTGAGACAGGGGCTGAGCACCTAGAGGAAGACCTTGTGAAGACAGGTAGGGGAATTTGGTTAGACACCAGACCTGCGGCTCTCCACTCATGGTCATCATAGTAGCTTTTATACAATTATTATATATATACATATATTATATACAATTTATAGAATTATTATATATCAACAGATTATAGGTTTGGATATTTATGGGGTAAAATGATGTTATGATATATACATATATATGTGTGTGTGTATATATACATATACATATATATATATTTATATGCTGTAGCAAGCTAATAAACATAACCATCACTTCAAATTCTTACCATTTTTTTGTGATGAAAACATTTAAAATTTACTCCTAGCAGTCTTGAATTATAGAACACACTATTATTAAACTAAAGTTACTATGCATTAAATCTCAACTAAACTGATTCTTATTGTCTAACTCTTTGACCAATATCTCCTCTTCCATTTTGTCTCCCAAACCTCTGATGATACCATTTCCCTGAGTTCTAGTGTTTTATTTTATTTTATTTTTTGGATTTTCTTTAATTTTTTTTAAATTTTTATTTTTTTATTATGAAAATACTGTACAGAGGGGTTACAATTACATGGGCAAGATAATGAGTACATTTCTTATCAAGCATTGCAGCCTCCTCCTTTGTTAGTTCCAGTGTTTTAGATTTCATATATATGTGAAATCATGTAGTGTCTGCCTGGCTTATTTCACTTAGCATAATAATGTTCTTTTTCAGTTCATAAAGTTTCATTTTTTTTAAGGCTAAGTGATATTCTATTGTGTGTGATTGTGTGTATGTTCACACACACTGTTATTCTGTTGTCGACCTAGGTTAATTCTATGAATAATACCACAATGAACCTGGACATGCAGATATCTTTTACTGATCCCTTTCAATATAGATCCAGAAGTGGGATTCCCATTGACCATAGGGCAGTTCTGTACAGTCATCTATAATTGCTATATTCATTTATGTTCATCTCACAAATATACAAAGATTTCCCTTTCTCCGTATACTTCACAGTGCTTGTTATCTTTTAACTTCTTCATATGAGCAGTTCCCACCTAAGTAAGATCTTGTTCTGTTTCTTTTGTGTTTTCTTGTGGTACTGGAGCTTGAACTCAGTGCCTCGTGCTGTGTTCTACCACTTGAAGCATGCCTTGCTTCTAGCTGGTTATTTTCAAGGTAAGGTCTTACAAACTTTTTCTAAACCAGCTGGCCCTGAACTTTGATGTTGTGCTCTCAGCCTCCCAAGCATTATAGCCACTGGCAACTAGTTCTCATTCTGGTTCTGATTTGCATTTCCCCCAATGATAAGTTATATTGAGCATTTATTCATATTTCCACTGGCCATCTGCATGTCTCTCATTTCTAAATAGTGAATCAGGTTCTTTGTCCAGTTCTTTTTTATGGATTAAAAAAGTGTATGTTTCCTAAGATCTAGGATTCTGATTGAGTTGGCTTAGGATTATTTTTTGTCATGGGACTTTTAATGGCAAAATACAAGAGGTAATTAATTGTGCTGCTGTGACAGAATTTGTACTGTCACAGCAGCAGCAAGTTTACTGACCACTTAAAGCTCTTTTACATGAAATTTATTTAACTTTATATGAAATACATGTTTTATGCCCAATTCACAGATGAGCAAACTAAGCACAGAAAAGTTAAATCAGTTTCCCAAAACTATATATCAGGCCAGAGAGTAAGCAGGGGTCATAACACAGATTGTCTTGCTCCAGATTTTTGGTGAAATAGAATTTAAAGCTTGGTATTTTATTATTTGAAAATGATAGATTAACCAACTTTTAACTGAAATATTAACCAGTAATTTTTTAATATGTAGGACTTGAAAGTCACACGTGGGATTTTAAGAAAAGGTCTATGCTGAAAATGTTAAGTTGTAGGAAAAAACAATTTGTTTAAAAAATTGTTCTCTTCTGCTTCCTGAGCCAGCCCAGCATGGTTCTCCTGGCTTATTTTCTTCCCACTGCCACCAGAGAAAGAACCAAAAGATGGTGTGATTTGATATTTCCCACATGGAGACAATGAAACTATAAGATAAAATAAATTCCCAATTAAGAAATCTGTGTTAGTGCTTAAAAATAACTGAAGTTGCTGGATGCTGGTGGCTCATGCCTATAATCCTTGCTACTCAGGAATCTGAAATCTGAAGATCATGGTATAAAGTCCATTTGGTTAGGAAAGTCTGTGAGACTCCAATAAACTACAAAGCAATCCAGAAATAGAGCTGTAGCTCAAGTTGTAGAGTGCTTGCCTTAAGTAAGAAAGCTCAGGGGCAGTGACCAGGCCCTAAATTCAAGCCCTGCACCAGCATAAAAACCCTAATTACAATCCATAATTGAAATTACTGTTATCAACAGAACAATATAAAATTTTATAAAGTGAAGGGAAAATCCAGTCTTCCATACTCTCACCACATAAAGTGATACTAATGTCTTCCTGTGGTGCTGTTACAATTGTCTTTATTTCATTAGGAATAAAACCTATTCAGTAAAATGATTTATGACGTTTGTATACGTAAGATTTGTATTGCCCACTGATAACAGGGATCTATTAAAGATTGATCAGCTTACTATCAATATCAGGTTTCAGGTGCTCATCTGAAAAAAAAAGTTGGTTGCCCTCAATTTTGTCTTGGCAAGTGTGTGCATTTACACATTGTTTTTTTTTTTTTTTTCTCTTAGATCCAAGAGTTGAAGACTGGCTCTTAATGTCCTCACCTCTGCCACAAACCATCATCCTGGGACTCTATGTCTATTTTGTCACATCTCTGGGACCAAAGCTCATGGAGAATCGAAAGCCCTTTGAACTCAAGAAAGCAATGATAACGTACAATTTTTTCATAGTACTCTTTTCTGTGTATCTGTGTTATGAGGCAAGTGTCTTCAGTATTCCTAATGGGAGAATTTTGCCCAAGTCTTTGTGTTTATGTGCCATTTTTTTTGTAACTGATATAAGTTAATGTGTTGAGAGGTAGGAATTTTGAAAACTGAGCTCATGGGAACAAGTGCATAACAAAAGACATTTTATAGGTAGGCCAGATAATAAACGTATAATCCAAAGATTTGTACAGTTAGCCTTAGATAATTGACTGAATTCATGAACATTAGTTTTGAGGAAAGTCATGCTCAGAGAAATCAAATAACTTACTCGGAGTAAAATAGTTTAAGTGAAGGACTGATCCTTGAATACTGCATCTGGTATCAGAGTTCCTTCTGTGTTCTGTAATGAGTAGTCATCATCACGGTAGAAACTTCTGGTATCTGTGTGATAAGCTACACAATGATGGACTATTTGGGTTTTATTTACCTGAACTTTGGGGCAAAAGAGAGCATAGACTCATACAAAACAGTAGGTGGAGGGGCTAGTCCTTTGATTGTCACTAAGGGGAATAGGCTCTCTACACTCTGAAAGCAACTTCACAAATTCTCTTTCCATAATGCTGTCAACATACCTGCCACCCAAGTGTAGCCATTTCTCTAGGATTCTTTCCCATTCTGGCTGATTTCCTTATTCTGTTATTTCTCCAGCAGAATAGCTTGCCCTAACCACAATTTACCAGTGCTCATTCATAACTCTACGAGGAGCTGCAGTAGCTCCCTGCCCTCCTTAACATCAACCTGATTCTTGCTACAAATCTACCCAATCCAATCACCTAAAATCTACTCTGGCCTTCTTCTTCAAAGGCCTCCCTGGAGCTTCACTGTGCTCACTTCTACTTTATTTCTAAAATTAACTCACAGACCATTCTAGTGTTTCTTCTAGAGTACAAACATCTGAATGGAAATATGTGTGAGAGGTGGGGAACAGAGAAAATGCAGGCTCTCATAGATAAATAGCATGTTCTCATAGAAAAATATATACAGTATACAGTACATTATATGAGGGTTAAAAACAGCCTTGGAAGCCAGGAAACTAGGGACAAGTTGATCCTGATTCTGCTACTAATGAACTGCCTGATTTTGAGCAAGCTGCTGAACCTTTCTAGGCCTCAATTCTTTCATTTTATAAAGCCAAGACTGAAACAGACTGTCCATCTCCTTTATTTCTTCTTTTTTTGCACCATTAAAATATTATTCTGCCAGATTTGGATACTCAAGCCTTTCATCCTAATGCTCAGAGACAGAGAGGGGCAGGAGGATCTTGTTGAGTTCAAGATCTGCTTGGGCCACATGGCAAGACCTTGCCTCAAAATTAACAAAAATCATCCTGATGAAGTCTTGTAAATGTTTGTTTTAAAAACTGAATTTATTGTAATGTTGTCATTTAGCTTTAATAGTAAGAAAAACAAATTTAAAATGTGCTTTGGTAGCATCAGTAACAACCTAAGAAAGATGCTATAACTTATAAGGATAATAAATTAGCAACTAGGCATTGCTCACACACAGAATCCTAGCATTTGGGAGTCCAAGAAAGGAAGATCATAAGTTCAAGGATAATCCAAGCTATATAATAAGATCCTGTTTTTGTTTTTGTTTTTTTTGTCGGTTGTGGGACTTGAACTCTGGTCCTGGCCACTGTCCCTCAGCCCTTCAAACTCAAGCCAAGCACTCTACCACTTGAGGCACAGTACCACATCCAGTTTTCTGGTGGTTTATTGGAGATAAGAATCTCACGGAGTTCTTACCCGGGCTGGTTTTGAACCACAATCCTCAGATCTCAGCCTCCTGAGTAGCAAGGATTACAGGAGTAAGCCACTGGCACCTGGCCAGATCCTGTTTTAAAATATAAACAACACACACACACAAAGATAAGTTAGTGAACAAAGCATATTATCACTACCCTATATTTAGCCAAATATTTAATATATGCACTAATTTTAAATTAAATCTTATAGGTTTTCATTTTTAACTACTTTTTTCTTGCCAGTCTTGGGGCTTGAACTCTGGGCCTAGGCTCTGCTGTCCCTGAGCTACTTTTGCTCAAAGGTAGAGCTTTACCACTTAAACCACAACTCCACTTCTGGCTTTTTCTGTGATTAATTGGAGACAAGAGTCTCGAGGACTTCCTGCCCCAGCTAGCTTCAAACAATGGTCCTCAGATCTCAGCCTTTTGAGTAGGTAGGATAACAGGCATGAACTACCACCGCCCAGCTCTAGCTACTATTTTTGAACGAGTATCTTCCCACTATCAAACTGAAAGAAGTCAATATAATCTTTGAATTATAATTCAAACTTATCAACAGTAGGTGCTTTCTTTTTACCATCAGTGCAAGGTTAGTTAATAGACATGTTAGAATGAAGTCTTGCCAGATTGCACTCCCATACTGTTAACAAGAGCAATTTACTTTTTACTTGTTTTGTGGATCCAAATTGTCTGAGTCTTATTTTGCGGATCCAGACTGAGTCTTGTTTTGTGGGAGAGTTCTCAACAACCATATCACAACACATGCACTTAGGCAAGGAAAGGTACATTGAGGAATGTTGGGTTGCCCATCTACTTATTGATTAATAAGCAATACTTGAGGTTGGAAGATTTGAAATGACCAGAAACAACAGATCTAGACCTAGGTAAAAGTACATAAATGCATAGATGTAAATAAATTAGATTATTAACCAGATTATTACTGATTGTGTCCTTCATTACATTCGAATGATCCTCCCAAGAAATGCACAACTTAATCAGAACGTAATTGGTATAAATGATATATGAGTTTGTGGTTTTGAAAATCCTTAATATCAATGTTTTCTATGGAGTGTGTCTACAGTTGATCACTGTTTTTATGGCCTTCCTCTGTACTGATTGCTGGTTCAGCCCCTACTGCAAGAAACATGCAATCAAAACTACCTTTGTTTTAGCTCTTGAACAAATGCTTCCTCTTCAGTCTGCATGTGCTCTCTTGCAGTTTGTGATGTCTGGCTGGGGAACAGGTTATTCATTTCGATGTGATCTTGTTGACTATTCACAGTCACCCAAAGCAATGAGGGTAAGTTTCTCTGTGGTAAAACTTGCAACTCAATTCAATGGGAAAACTTTTTGGACTCTGTTTGTAGTACTAGCTGTGAAATTGCAAAGAACAAATGATGCAACTGTCAGATTATGTATGTTGAAGGAAAGCTAAAAATTATAAGAAAAAATCGGCGAATGTCAGATGTGTAATTTTTCTGTAAGATGCAAATACTTTTTAAAATTACTTGCATTTCAAAATAAATTTATATATGATCCCTAGGAAGAAAAAGAAAAACAGATTTACTATAAGATCTAGCAATTTTACTTCAAGATACATACCTAAAGAAATGGAAATCAAGGACCGAATGAGATAATTGTACACTCATGCTCATAGCAGCGTTGTTTATAGTAACCCAAAGTGTATGCAACCTAAGGGTTTGTGGATGGTGAATGTTTAAGCAAAATTAAATTTATTTAGCTTTTAAAAGAACATGGATGAGTTCAAGGACATTATGCTATGATGACTGAAATAATGGTTACAAAATGACAAATACCAGAGGATTCAGCTTATATGAGGTGCCTAGACTAATCAAAATAATACAGACAAAAGAGAAAGAGATGTATGAGCCTGGAGGAAATGCAAGGCTGAGAAGTTGCTTTTGCCTGGATACAGAGTTTTAGTGTCCCTAGAGGAAAGAATTCTATGAAGGGGGAACAGTGACGGTTGCACAATGTGAGTGACTCTGCTTTGTACATTAATAAAAGTTTAGATGGTAGACTTCGTTATGCATTTTCTCCCGAAAATTTAAACTTTTCTTCCATGAAAAACATAGAATAAAATAAGTTCATATCTATGCATGTAAATAAATGTATATCTATGTGTGTTTCTGCAGATGTTACGTGTCTGCTGGCTTTATTACTTCTCCAAATTTATTGAGCTGTTAGACACTGTGAGTATGTAGTCACCTGGTTAAGTAAATCATTGATGGTTCAGTGAAAGCAATAAACTTCTGTGGTGTGGTTGTCTGATAGCCTAATTATCTCTTCTCTTTTTACCTCTTATCTGTACTTCTAGAGACTAGATAAGATAAACTTATTTCCCAGTATTTCACAATCTCTAAACATTTTTAAAATATATATTTATATGTATCTAAATTAAATAAAATTAAATAAACAGCTAACTACTACACATGCTACAAAAAAGAAACAAGCGAACAACAACAAAACAACCAGTATGTCTTCATGTAGATAATGGCAGTTATTTTAAAAAGCAAGTTCAGGAAGACAAGAGCACAAGACCATCTTATATTTGGTCCTTTATATGGAAGCATCATGTCAACTGTATTCCTTTAAGATACTAAATACTCCAAAATTCATCAGCTTACACCAGGCTGAGACATTACCACTGGAGTATCGGTAATTTGGGGGGACACCAGAACTATCTCCCTGCCCTTCTGAAGTCTGTACTTGCTGGGCCTTAGCTCTTCAGATCTTGGTGAGGATCCACTCTGGACTTGGGTGTCATAGACAAATGACAGGGATTTATATTTGATAAGAAGGAAAGCCATGAACTTTCATTTCCAGCATAACTCAGGAAAGACTGATAGTTAATGACAAGTTGAACTTAGTTATTTGGAACTAATCTTGTTCTGAGACTGACAGTGTCTCTGGAATATATGCCACACATTTCTTGTAGGAAATCATAACATACTTTACACTCTCAATTGGCTAGTCATATAATGTCAGAAGAGACTTTGATGAATTTAGAGTCTAGTGGTTGTCAAACTTTAATATATATTAAAATTCCTCAGGGGCTTTGTTAAACCACATGGACTCTCAACCTTAGTGCTGTGATTTAATAGAGCTTGGGTGGAGCTCAAGAATGTGCTTCCAACAAGAAATCAGATGATGCTAAAGCTGTTCATTCAGGGACCACTTTTGGCCCCCTGCCATCCTTCCTATTAATTACATTAGGAATAAAACAAACAAATGTGTACCCCACCTTTTGAGTTTTGGTTTCAAATGGTTTAGAGTTAGAGACCAAGGCTGGCTATTAAAAATATTCTTTGATATTATTTGGTATGCAGTCAGCGTTGAGAACCATTTATCTACTCACAAACTCTCACTTAGAAAAAAAGTTGAAGCTAAAAGCAATGTATCTTATCCAGGGAAAGGCTTCTAAGTGGGACACAGCTCCAGATGGTTAGTTTATGGCTTAAAAAAATTGTGCCAGGCTGCATTCTTCCATGTGCATAGCCAATGCATTTTGGCTTTCATTGACGCTGCTTTGCATGTTCTCAGTTCCAACTTCCATAAGGAAACTTTTGCTGCCTTTGTGGCCTTTCCTAGATGACATTTCTCCAGTACTTCTGTTATGTAATTTTTTTGTGCTTTGTCATGATTTTTATTCAGAATTTTGCCATGAAATACTTTTGAATATCCTCCTCCAACCCAAATTCTACTCATTTGCTTGTAGAATTTCTGCAGACCTCTGGATGTGATCAGAATGATACCTTTCTGACTTTCCTCATTTTTCTGGTACAATGTTGCTTTTGTTTCCATCATATTTTTCAAATGAGCTCTTCAGGTTTTTTTCTCCCTTCATCTTTCATTAATAAGTTGCTAACTTGATTTGTTGTTGTTGTTGTTGTTTGTTGCAAGTCATCTTTCAGTGTGATCCCTTATCCGAAGTGGTAGGATGTGTGAGAGAACAATGAAATGATTGCAGTCCTAACAAGGATTTTTTCTATATGCTTCCAATTCAATGAGACTTTGTTTTAACCAATAATATTTCTCTTGATAATTTGTTTGGCCAAAGTTTTCACTTCCTACGTTTGATTTTTAAATCTACATGGAACTTCTTATTTTCTTACTGGTACTCCCGCAATTAGGTATCTATCATACCTAAGTTTCCTCACAACAATGAATATTGCAGCTTGCCCAGAGAGAATCAGCCTTCTGAAAGCCCTCTGTAAAGCTGTTCTTTCCAAGAAAATTATGATGTGAGATAGTTTGCTCTTTGCCAATACGTTCATAAGAGTTGATAAGTTACTGCATGATTTTTTTATGAACTTCATTTTCTTTAAATTATTCCAGATCTTTTTTGTTCTGCGTAAGAAAAGTAACCAAGTGACTTTCCTCCATGTCTTCCATCACACTATCATGCCATGGACCTGGTGGTTTGGAGTCAAATTCGCTGCAGGTAGAAAAGGGAGAGCTGGGATTACGTGATAACAGTTTTACTATGCTACAAGTATAAATTTTAGCCTTTAATATAATTTACAAGAAACACAGGCAATCAAAGAGTCACTTCAGTTGAACTTCTGACTTTCAAAATAGTACTTGTGTTAAACATAGGACTCTTTACTAGACTCTCCACACTATTAATTCTTTTGATATGCATGGACCAGGTATTCTAAATGTATTATTCATTTTGTTCCTATTTTATTCTTTCCTCATAGAGTTCTACTACAATCTTCATATAAGTAAACAATAAACAGACAGTTAAAATGGTATCAAAAATATGTTGACTTCATAGGAGTCTAGTTAGATAACTGTTCTTTCTTTCCAGTAAGTTAGCATGTTTATCACAAGTTCTGTGACTTGTTAGCCTTCAAATGGCTAATCCATTCCTGTCATAGTCCATTTTGTGTTACACTAACCAAAACACTTGAGGCTTAAAAAAGAGGCCTTAGGAAAGGGGTTTGCTTAGTTGACAGTTTGGGAAGCTAAACGTCCAAGATCAAGCAGCCACTTCTATTTAGCCTCTGGTGAGGTTCTTCTAGTGGTGTCAATATGGCAGGTGGCATCATGGCAGGAACACATGGAAGGCAGAAAAGACCTGTCAGGAGAGGAAACGAGTCTAAGGAAGGGCCAGCCTCATTCTTTTATAACAACCTACTCTAAGTTAACTAACACACAAGATTACACTGGGGACCAAGCTTCCAGCATGGGAACCTTTGATGAACAATGATATCCAAACTATGGTACACAGCAGGTCTTTAAATACATGTCAGATAACTGCAATTACCTTCACTTCCCAAAGCACACTGTTATGTGAAAGGATGTTTAGTTAGTGTCTTTTGGGTCAAAGATACTTCAAATCAAAAGCTTGATGCACAGGCTCTTTTGTTTCAGTTTGATTTTATGTCTCTGCACATTTAGAATTGGAGACAGTAGGCAGGAATTTTATCCTATCTTAAGGTTTTGGATTTTTTTCTTCCATAATGGGGCTTGAACTCAGGGCTTTGTGCTTGGTAGGCAAGCATTTTACAACTGAAACCATGACCCATCCCATTTTGCTTTAGTTGTCTGCTGTTTTTTTGCCTGGGGCCAACCTTGGACCATGGTCCCTCCATTTTTTATCCATATGGCAAGGGTAACAGGCACCACCACATCCACTTGTTCTTTTGAGACACAGACTCAGGAACTTTTTATCTTGAGTTGGCATTGAACTGTGGTCTTTTCACCTCTATGTCCCATACAGCTGGGATTTACAAGTGTGCACTACCAATCTCACCTCGTTCATAATATACTAAGTAAGCAGTATCCTCAAGTACATATTCTTACATTTGCACATTGTGTTTGGAGGATTTGTTCCTTTCTGGTTATCTTTCCATTTTAGAACTTTTAATATAAACTAACTCATCCTCAGCAATGCTTTAACATTTCTGCGAATAGCTCACCTCTACTAGACATTTTGTCCCTGCTAGACTAAAAGAAGAAGTGCAGTTTTTTGAGATCTAGACACTTGACATGGGGTGAAAGGACGTGGCTAAGCCAGTTGTAAGATGTCAGAGCTAGTGGAGCCATAGGGGCTGAGAAACATAGGTAAAGGGCCTTCAGATATCATGTCCCAGTGTGTAATGCATTTTCTCATCCCATGTTGGTATTTATCTCTGAAGGAATTTTTTAAACTAAACGTAGCCACTTTTTCCTATGATGTATTCCAGTGTACAAATTAAACCCATGGTCTAACAAGATAGTCTTAGATGTGCCCAATTAAAAACCCTAAGTTAACTGTAGTATTTAGTCTTCATTATTTTTACTCATCCCACCAAAAATAAAAAAGAATGTTAGTAAAAATGTTTTCACAAACATAATTTGTTTAAATTTTTCATGAGACTAGAATACAGCTGACCCTCTGTATTTATTATTGAAAATACTGAAAAAAGTTGCATCTGTACTAATTACGTACGAACTCTTTTCTTATCATTCTCCCAAAGTAGTAAAACACGACAACTATTTTTATAACATTTTGTTCCTTGGTATTGAAAGTAATCTAAAGATTATTTAATTATATGAAGGATGCACAAGGTCTTAGGCAGGTAGTACACTATTTCATATAAGGGACTAATGTTGAATACCTAGATATTAATATCCTCAGAGGCATCTGCAACCATCTTGCATGGGTCTTGAGAGATGACTGTACTATCATAGTTCAGAAAAATAAATATAAAATGATTAGAAGACAATGTTCCAAAATATTCTCAGGTGATTTGGAGGTATTGAAACAAAAAGTAGTTTCCCTCCCTTTGTCATCCTCTATATTTTCCAGTTGCTCTGTATTGAATATCTGTTAGCTCTTTAATGGGAGATACACATGTTATTTAAAGAATGGAGAAAGTTCTTACTTTCAAGTTTGAACTCATTCATAGTTTTAGTTTCCATCCCCCCAAACAAGCAATGGTTTCACTAGTGGAAACTGAAACATGTAACCTGCCTGGATTTTTAAGTGTCACCATGTTTCAGGACATCAATTATTTATAATGGGTTCCTCATCCACACCCCAGGGCCCCTTATCTGTACAAAATGTGCAAGGGCAAAAATGACATTTTTCTTGTCTCCTGTGTATTCTGAGAGTTGGTGCTTCGTTCACTCTTATGTGGAGTGTTTTCAAGGATACTCGCACAGCTTCCCTAATGAGTGGCAAGCGCAGTCTTAGGAAGTGTGCTTTGCCATCAGTTTCGATCTTTAGGATACTGGCGGTTTAAGCCATTCTCTTCAAAACCTTGAGCACAGCAGATCTCTAGTATTTGATTGCCCATTTGTCTTTTGTACCCTTCTCTGAGATAAAAAACAATTAGCTTTTCTTTTCAATATGATAAAAACATTTCTGGGGCCATTTAAAAGTATTAATTATATTGAGATTCTCTTTGAGAGACATGGAGAATTGTGATAATTGCCCAGGTTAATTCTACCCCCAACCCCCAACCCAAAGGAGTAAAATGTGATGGCATTAGTTGTGACTCATTCCTGAAATGTTTGCTTTTCAGATCTATTCTTGTAGAGAAAGAAAGCTTAGAAAATCATTTGAAAATGAAAACACTTCCAAAGAATAAAAGGCATTGCTGATTAAAATGTCATTTCTCTGTGAAAAAATTCATTCCAGTAACTTGCCAGAAAATAATCATCAATAAAAAAACAAGCAAATTTTAATTTTATTTAATTTATATTCTGCTCAGTAACTGTCACTAAACAAACACTTCTAACTAAATTGGTGCTTTTTAAAATTCCTATCACAGAATTCCCATTTTAGGTTATTTACATGGTGAAGTGGAAAACAGGATACTTCTCTGTCAAATAACAGTGAGAAACTCTGCCTGAATCCCTTGTAAGGCAGAGTTGGATTTCCTGTATTTGTATTTTCATGAGACAAATGGACCTGGTGGTTATCTCTTGAAGTAACTTGACTCCTAAGCTATTAAAAATAGACAATTATTCTATTTTCAAGTTACCCTGGAAAGGTGTGTTGACATTACTGTAATTTATGTGGTCAGGTTGCTTTGGGAAGATTAGTTTGTATTAATGTAAATTGTAAAAGTTGAGAGGTTGTTAATTTGCTTCATGAATTTGTTTTATTCTAACATTTGTGATCATTTAGGGATTAGCTGAAATTTGATTTACTCTTCTCAGAAGCAGAAATTAGGAAACATGTCATAAATGAGGCATTGGGGGAATATTTAACTACATAAAAGAAATAATTTAAAATAGGTCATTTGAAGTGAGTAGTTTAATAGTGGTAGTCTCTAAAATTATCTATAACTGTTGCTATTGTGAATAATTATTGGTAAGTAGTTTCTAGTATGCAACAGTTTTATGGTGTGTTTCCTTAGAATGTTATATTAGAAGGGATAAATTTATATTTATATGTAAAGTATATAATTGTATATAGTATGTCTACTCAGTTAGACTCAATATTCGCTTTACTTTTAGAATCAAAGAATTCTGGAATTAAGAAAATAAGAGTATTTTGGCATAAAACTTAAATTATTGGCCACTAAGTAGAGTCAGACCATACATTAAAAAATGAAGCTTCCTTTGTGTAATGCCCTTGGGAAAGAGACCCTAGTGAGAAATCCCATTATCTATCAGCTAATCTTTTCCATGGACTGCTGCTATTGTCAAAATAATTGCAACGATTGTCTTCCATTTCCAAGATTTGTCTTCCATTTTCAAGTGATTTCTGTTTCTTTCACAATTGAAGTTAGCGAAATTAAAAGAGGAAAGCTCAGACAGGATAGTATAATCAAATGGAAGCTATAAACAAAAAGTGGCTTAACAGTTAATACTTATTTATTTTGGAAAAAATAATAATTTCTTAAAATCAGTTTAGCATAGCTTACTAATGAAAGTCAGTGCTTTTGCTGCCAGAACTTTTGTGACACGAATAATATTTAATGAAAATTATTGAGACTGCAGAAAGTGAATTTGATGCCACACAATGACACAAACACAAACGTTTTTTAAACCCTGGCCATAATAGCTCAAATTAGAAACAATGTAAATGTTTTTAAATAGGAGAATGAATAAATACTGCCACATTCATGCTACTATGGTGTAATACTACAGCAGTATAAAGACACATTATTGCTGGTACCAGTGGATCATGCCTGTAATCCTAGCTATTCAGAAGCCTGGGATCTGAGAATTGTGGTTCGAAGCCAAGTGGGGCAGTTAAGTCTGTGAGATTCTCATCCCTAATTAACCACCAAAAAGCCAGAAATGGAGCTGTGATTCATGTGGTAGAGTACTAACCTTGAAGAAAAACTAAAAAGCCTCAGGAACAGTTCTTAGGCCCTAGGTATTCGAGTCCCATGACTAGTAAACACACACACACACACACACACACACAAACACACACACACACACAAAGTTATTAACATATACAGAAACACACATGAATTTTAAAAATTTGTTGAAAAAAGGCATGCACAGAAGTGTATGCTGTGTGTAATTTCATTTATGGGGAGTTTAACAAATGGTGGATGATACAATTAGAATGAAGGGTATCTTCAAGGGGAATCTGATGTGCTATTGTGAATATTCTATCTTGACCTTGTTGGTGGTTACAGTGATATATGTGTAAAAAATATTAACTTTTATGCTTAAGATGAATGTACTTTGTCTACTTTCTCTATGTTAACCTTCACTAAAAATAAATTCTGATTGTTGTTATGCTAATGTATCATATTTAAGAGGTAACTCAACCTGGTAATTAAAGTAAATCTAAATGATAAGACCATCTTACAGTTAAAATGTAACAAATACAAACATGGTAATTTATTGCACTGAATATATTATCTAGCTCCCTCTAGTTTCATAACTGGTTTACAACATTGATGATAGTTCATATAATTTTTTTCCTACTAAATGTAAGAAATGATTATACTAAAATCTTATTTTAGGCAAAAGTGCATCTGATTGTAAGGAACAATATCCCCATATTACACTAATATTTTTATCTTTCCAGGTGGTTTGGGGACATTCCATGCTCTCCTAAATTCAGCTGTACATGTGGTAATGTACTGCTACTATGGACTATGTGCAATGGGACCATCCTACCAGAAATATTTGTGGTGGAAAAAATATTTGACATCATTACAGCTGGTGAGTAATTAATTTTCTATAAAACCTGATAATGAAATGAAACTGGAGTCACTTGTTTTCTCTGTGGATTCAGATTGTCCACCCCCAGAAAAGAGCAGAGTTTATAATAAAGTATGGGTATAAGATCTGGTCACTATACAATACAACAGTAGATATCTCAATTCTTTCTATGTTATTTGAATTTGTAAGAACTTCATTCAAAAGAACATATAATTTGTAGAAGAGGCTCAAGAAGTTATGGCAGTATCTGCATCTTTATAAGATCTGGACATTGCTGCATGTGTTTTTAAGAAATATATGTTTAAAATAATCTGAAAGTTTTGTAGCTCTCAAGAGGCATAATATTAAATTAGAAGTTAGAAATTCCGTATCTTAGGTCTAAATAACTTTAAGAGACTGTAACTTTGAATAATGGATCTTCCTGTTTACTCCTAAAGGTTATCTTTCCTCTAATAAGTAAAAAGCATCATGAGGATTAAATGACTGGAGAGCAGACCAATGCATATGTATTACATAAAATTGAATCCTGAATACTGCCCTCAAGTAAACAATCTGAAAGAATACAGGCATTCAGTTTAGACCAAATAATATCTCCTAAGAATTAATCCTAAAAGTATATGTGGCTATGAGATGAAGATTTGCTTTAAACTTTGTTCTCCATTGAAGAAGGATTCTTCCAAGTTTACAGTCTACATTAAATTGAGTATCATATTCTGATAGTGATACTAATGAGAAAATAGTTTAGGTATAGCTAGCCTGTTGAAGATTAATTTTACTTAAATCCTATAACCTGTTAAGTGAAAATTGGCACATTTATATAATGTGTTCTTTCAGATGAGAGATTGATACTTTATTCTGTAAAGACTCTCAATTAAAATCAGACTACATATCCTTGAGGATATATTTTGTTGTATTAAAGTTGACAACCATCTAAATAAACAATCATAAAGAAATGGTGAAATAAATTATTTTAATTCATTCTTTGGAATACTATGAATCATGAAAAATTAGTTACCATTGTTTCTTTTTAAAGTATCTTTTCTCATTGTGAAGTAACATGCAAAGAAATTAGAATACCTAATTAGACAAGAAGAAAGGAATATAAACTGGACTGGAGGACTGGGCTCAATGAAAGAGCCTTTGTCTATGTTGAGTGATGCTTTGGTTTTGATTCCCCAGCACCATGTAAATAAATAAACAGAATAAACAATCCTACCACACCCGGAAAATAGTGCTGGTATATTTATTTTGCTCTCATTTAACTTATTTTCCCCTTAAGAATGCAGTATCCTTTATAGAATCTTACTTATAGAAACTTAAATTAGCCTTTTGTCATTTAAGATACTAAAGTGAAAACTTTTTAATAAAATGGAAAAATTCTAATGTAGCAAAGATGTGCACTAGTGGGTAAGATTCTCCTTAGCCTTGATAGTGTTTTATCTCTTCTGAAAAATTAAAGTGATAACTAACCAGTGGGCAAGAATGTCATGAAAGCTCATTCAGAGAGGTTGGGAATTCAAAGCTACTGGAAGAGAAAAAACAGCAGCAAAAATAATCATTCAGGGGGGAAAAAATGAACAAATGAAGAAAAGCAATTAACATGAAAACATGGCTAACCAAAATCCAAACTCCTATATGTCACAGAAAACATGGAGTAACAAGAAACAGTGGCTAGCTACTCAGGAGGCTGAGATCTGAGGATCCCTGTTCAAAGCCAGCCCAGGCAGGAAAGTCAGAGAAACTCTTATTTCCAACTAACCACCAGAAAAACTGGAAGTGGCACTGTGGCTCAAGTGGTAGAGTGCTCACCTTGAGCTGAAAAGCTCAGGGAGCGTGCCCGGGCCAAGTTAAAGACCCATGCTGGACAAAAAAAGAACAGAAAAGAAAAAAAAGAAGAGAAACAAAGGGATGAAAGGGGAAGACTATGGTGAAAATCGAACAAGGAAATCTCTGGGAATTGACTAGGAAGCAGAGAGTCAAGGGTAAAGGCGTGTGACAGTGTGGGGAGGGTCCCCACTGGAATGTCTTACATACGTGTATGGAAATGTCACAATGAATTCCGCTCTTGTATAGCAAATCTATTAACAAAAACAAAGAAGAAAGATAAGTGAAAAAAAAGAGAGGTTGGGAAATTAGCTCCATGGTAAGAGTGCTTGTCTAGCAAGCAGTTCAGTTATCAAGCACTTAAAAAATGTGTTGAATACTGCAAAGGAAGTTGCTGATCAGAACAATAAAATAATAATGAGAGAAACTACACTGAGGGTGGGCACCGGTGGCTCATGCCTGTAATCCTAGCTACTCAGAAGGCTGCAATCTGAGGATCATGTTTCAAAGCCAGGCTGGGCAGGAAAGCCCATGAGACTCTTTATCTCCAATAAACCACTCAGAAAACCGAAAGTGGCACTTGGCTCAAGTGTTGGGGTGCTCACCTTGAGTTGAATTGCTGAGGGACAATGCCCAGAGTTCAAGCCCCACAACCGACATAAAAAAAAGAAAAAGAAAGAAAGAAAGACACTACATTGAAATCTTAACCATGGTTATAACTAGATGGATTCTGGGTAATATTTATTTATTATGGAATTTTACTCTTCTAAAATTCCTACAACATATTGCCTTTTTAATCAGATTTTTTTAAGTCCGAGTGAGTACACACACAAAAAATGTCTTTGCTAGGACTATATGGAATTTTCCATTCCACAAAGCCTTTGAGCCTCACTAGATGTATCCATAGTTGGCCACTGGGACTTTAGTTTTCTTTTGGCATGGAGACTGTTCATCCAGACTGGTTTTGAATTTATGAGCTTAAGTGATCCGTCTTCCTCTGTCTCCAGGGCAGTGGAACTACAGAGGTGAATCACCATGTCTGACTCCTTTCTAGGACCTTTGATCTATGGCAGTCAAAAACATAGTAGATATGAGAACACAACAATGCTTTGGCATCTACAAAAATGAACAGGACTCTAATTTGCATTTTTAACTTTATAAAAATGAAAATGCCTATTCTAAATCTGAGTGTTTGAAATTGAAACCATCCTGGAAAATTAGGGCACAATTAGATCCCTGTGTATTTCTTCAGAGTCAAGGATTCAAAAGAGAGACAAAAGAGTTTTTATTTCTTCCAAAGAAAACCTTGCCCTTGGGTTATCGAATAGTGAAAGGGTCATTTCAGGGCACACACTAGGAGGGATTTAACTAGACCTCCTGGAGTTGTACAGTTTATATTTTGGCACTACGCTACCTATTCTTCCTCCAGGGGAAGCTAGTTTTAAAGATGGACTTCCTCACCCAACAGTAGTCTGGATATAATTAACAAGTTTGTAAACATAAGCGGCCAGTGAATTATTAACTCTTCATAGCTCAACAACCTTTCTACTCTTTTCATTTTTCAGATCCAGTTTGTCATTGTCACCATCCATATAGGCCAGTTCTTCTTCATGGAGGATTGCAAGTATTCGTTTCCAATCTTCCAATATATTATCATGAGTTATGGGTGCATCTTTCTGCTGCTCTTTCTCAATTTTTGGTATCGTGCTTATACCAAGGGTCAGAGATTGCCCAAAACTATAAAAAATGGAAATTGTAAAAACAAACTTCACTAAAATATAAGCTAAACCTGAATCTGTGATTGAGAGCTATATCTTGTCTTCCTTGACAATCAAGAGATATTTACCTACTCAGTACATTTTTGTATATTTTTCAAAACCAAAAGCTTGTATTTTCTATGATGAATTATTGGAGTTTCTGATCTCTGAGAGCCTAAAGGTCCCAGCTACATCTTCTGATTACGAGAGCCAAGACTAACCAGAAGGTTTTCTGCTGCTTGTAAACCTTATCAAAATGTTTTATGTCACACATGTGCTACAATGGAAGAAGGGTGTGAAGCAATACAGTTCTCTTTGGGGAAGTCCAACATAGATGAAAAATGCCAGACATTTTGACCTTGGACAGAGATCCCTGGGGTATAACAGATTCCTTCTGCTGAGCTGGAGACCTCTAACTGCAGGCTCTGGCTTTGTGACTTACTGATTGTATTCAGAAAATTCTATATTTACTCTAGAATTTAGTTCCCACTCAAAAGAGCTAACAGAGATGAACATTAAGCGGATTTTTGATAAGTTTTTGTTTAAAAAAGGCATGTTGCCATGGATCTTTCAAGTAGTTGCTACCAATTGTGCTGATAAGACTTCCTTCCTTACCCTTTGGTTATACAAACTTTAAAAGCAACAGTTCTCTCTCAGTGAGTACACTGGTGTCCTTGACAAAATGGTCAACTTAACATTATTTTGATGGGTTAATGAACACCTTGCAATTACTACTTTACAGTTAATTTTATATATTTCTAGAAACAGATGAAGGTGTCAATTTAAAAAGTAAGTACCGTGAGCCAGGTTCCAGTGGCTCACACCTGTAATCCTAGCTACTCAGGAGGCTGAGATCTGAGGATCAAGTTTGAAGCTAGTGTAAGCTGCAAAATCCATGAGACTCTTGTCTCCAGTAAACTACCAAAAAGCTGAAAGTGGAGCTGTGTTGGTAAAGTATAGACTTGAGCCAAAGAAGTTCAGGGACAGTATCGAGGCCCTGAGTTCTAGCCCCAGGACCGGCACACTAGGAAAAAAAATCTGTTGTCAATTGTAGTATACTGTCAATCAGTGATATTGTCAGGGTTTAAAGGATGATCTTGGATGTGTGTATGTGTGTGTGTGTGTGTGTGTGTGTGTGTGTGTGTGTGTGTGTGTGTGCGCACTCATGTGCATACAAGCTAGAAACTTAAATGTTCATATGATAAGCATACTACAGGTACCCTTAACTCATAAATAATTTTAGACTACCCTTTGTTCACGATTTCTAGAGTAGCTTATGAAGGAACTGATAAAGGAAGTTAAGGCACAGTTTGGTTATATAAACAAAGACTGTTCAACTCTGAGAGACAGACAGACTATATTTGTTATAGAAATATACTACACGGAAAAGCATTTTCCAGAATAATGAACTAGCTTGGATTTCCTTTTTCAGATTTTATAAACCATATAATGAAGGGCTAAAATTCATCTGGCATCGGCTTTTTCTCCCCAAGTAGGTACTTTTCAGAATTCTTGCATTCTTGTGTTTTCTTGATGAATCAAAACTACTGATCTATAGATTGTCTAAGAAATAATGGGCATTTGTGAATCTTTTCTTAGTGCTTTTTTTCCCTTCTATATATTTATGCTCAGTTTTGAAGGACTGTCTATGTGTGAAAGACTTTATAAACAATTAGTACTTAGTACTTTGGCTCCACTTATTGTGTAGCATTTAGAGACTTATTATACTACAAAGTCCGAATTTTCACTGATTGTAAACCCTGTATTTCCATGGCTTTAAACTGTGGCCTTTTGTTTTCATACTTAGCACATTCATAAGACATTTGCCACTAAGTGACCTTTAGTGATTTTACTTGCTTACAGTGTGAGAATATGAGGGTTGGTAAAATGGGGGAATTTTCTTATTCTTAGAAAAATTTTAAAAATATATTTATTTCACTGTGAAGGTCTCAGGGATCCTTAAGTGTTTTCTTGTTGGGGTCTTTGTATCCAACCTGTGTTAAAATGAGATGGTGTGGTAGGTGCTGTTATATATACACAAATTTCCAAAGACTCAAGTAGTATAAAGACCCAAGGAAGCAAAAATGAAAGAAAAAAACTAAAGAGTTACTTTTTTCCAAGCTGTGTTGTATAACTTGTCCTAAGTCTTTAAAATGTTTGACATGCCTATGAACTGACCATGACATTAAGTGACATGAACAGAGACAGGGAAGTGGAAGTTTACATGAAAACAGATCATGGCAGAAGTATTCTCCAAGTCAACATCAGAAGATCAAAACTGATACACTGGATATAAAAATTTATTGAGCAACGTTTTGTTGGAAAGTTTTGTGTGGTCAGATAGTTTCTATTGAGCTTTCATTTTGCTTTTCAGAACTTTGTTACCTTTGGATTTGCTTACATTAAAAAAAATCCCAGCTACAAAACTAGTTTATGTCATAAAGCTCTATGCATACGTGAGGGCCTGTATACAACAAATAAACATGAATACCAATTTCTAAATGTCTATGGGATGTTGCCCTTTTATAGTATTTGTTCTTAAGTATACAACATTGTTTCATAACTTATCAAATGTTTGAGATTATGTCCCTTCAATTATCTCTTATTTCTGTTAGCATTTTAAAGACTGTGGAAAACTACGGATATTGTCAAAACTTGGGTTGGTTCTTCTCTGTGTATTATAATAAAATGTGTATAACATGTGTTATGTGTGTGTCTTTCATTTTCTGATGTAGCTGCTTATGTTTTCATGAGAAGGGTACTCACCTAACCAAAGCATTGTGTATACTTATACATTTTCTGCATTCAGAGCACAGTACTGGACCTTAGAGATGCTAATCCATTAGGTCCTAGTTAGAACCTCCTGGAGCTTTACAGACTGGCAGGTGGAATTTTGCTTGTAGAGAGAACAGTAGATGACATATGTCAGATGACCCAAAGTCCTATCATTTACCAAAGAAAGAAAACTCTATAAAGGAATCTGAATTTGATTTGTATAAAATATATGGAATTTCAAAATAGGTAGTAACATGGTGTCTTAAACAAGAACACATCACATATTAAAAGGAAATCATTCCTAACTAAAAGAAATGGCTCTAGGTAATGATCATCTTTACATGATAAAACAATAGGCGAAAGGTAAGTTGGGAATTTTGTACTGGCTATACTGATACATCCTGAATCCACCAATGAATCACAATATCATTAAAAATGGGATGCACAGAAAGCTCATCTCTCTTCATATGCTATAATGCTATAAAGTTTTCTTACTAAATTTTATTTTGAACTCAAATCTTACCGATTTTCTACACCCAACCTACCATTTACAAGAAATACAGTGGATAGAGGAAGATGTTAAAAGATACCCAGAGAGTGCCAGGCACCTGTGGCTCATACCTGTAACCCTAACTACTCAGGAGGCTGAGTTCTGAGGATCACAGTTTGAAGCCAGCCTGAGCAAGAAATTCTGTGAGATTCTTATCTCCAATTACCTATCAAAAAGCCAGAAGTGGAGATGTGGCTCAGGTGTCAAAGCACTAGCCTTGAGCAAAAAAGCTCAGGGACAATACCCAGGCTCTGAGTTCAAACCCTGCACACATATCAAACACACTAAGAAAATAGGTATAATCAGCAGATACAGGAAATTCTTTTTTTTATTTTTTATTGTGAAAATACTGTACAGAGGGGTTACAATTACATGGGCAAGATAATAAATACATTTCTTTTTTTTTTAATTTTATTTTATTTTATTTGTGAACATACTGTACAGAGGGGTTACAATTGCATGGGCGGGATAATGTGTACATTTCTTACCAAGCATTGCAGCCTCCTCCTTTGTTT